CCAGGGGAATGTCAATGGGGGGAGGGGGGCGAAGGAGACATATGTACAACTATCTGTAATACTTTAAACAATACAATACAATTAAAAAAAGAAAAGTCATGTAGTTGACAGAATAATGAGAAGAGGAGTGAGATGGGAGGAGAAACAAGAAAAACAGAGAAGAAAGTAGGAAAAGGGCAAAAGGGGCACAATGAAGGAAAGAAGGAAAGCATCATGTGTCTGAGCTGCTGTGTGTAGATTGGTAAATTGATTACACCTGGCTTCTGCTTTACCAGGTGTGGTGGCTCAAGGTTGGTTTGTTAGCTTTTTTTGTTTGTTTGTTTTTTTGTTAATTGTCACCCAAGGATATTTTTTTCTAAAAGTGGAAGGGACAGGGAGAGACAGAGAGAAACATTGGTGTGAGAGAGACACAGTGATTGGTTGCCTCCCACACATGCCCCAACCAGGGCGGGGATTGAGCTTGCAACTGAGCTACGTGCCCTTGACAGGAATTGAACCCATGACCCTTCAGTCCCTGGGCCAACACTCTCACCATTGAGCCAAACCAGCCAGGGCATGCCTGGGAGGGGGGTGTGTTTATTGGTGCAGCTGCTACTCTGCGGGTAGCCTCTGGCAGATCCTTTTCTTTTAATCCTCACTTTTTTTTTTTTTTTTTTGCCTCCCATACATTCCCTGACCAGGGATAGAAACCGAAACCTAGGTATGTGCTGTGACGGAGAATCGAACTCACAACCTTTTGAACAATCCAACCAGCTGAGCTACCTGGCCAGGGCCCTCTGGCAGATCCTCTTCTTTGCAAAACTGTGCTTTTAAGGGTTCTCGGGATAACAACATTGACTACTCCTCACAGTAACTTCTCTGTTCCTTGGGAACTAAGGATTTATGATAGCATGGATTAGATTAAGAAAATGCTGTTGAAATAGAATTGTTACTTGCAGTCAGAGTAGAGAATAACATCTCAGTAAACAAAAGTGAGGTGGAAAGAAGGGCACAAAGCTTATTTACTGAGCCCATGTGAAGAGCCTTGAGCAGCAGGCAGTAGATTGTCAGGACTGCAGATGACATCCAGGTGTGAGTGATTATAGCCGGCTGAAGATTCAGGAACACAGATTCAGGAGATCTGATGCTTTCAGCCACTTATGGAGACAGACACCGCAGTTACCGAGACAGGAGTAGGGAAACATTTTGTCCCAATAGCACTGGGCTCAGCTTCTCTTTTCTTGATTAAGAAAAAAAAAAGCAATGTTTTTTATGGGTTTGGATCTCGTTTCTAGGGAGACCAAAGAAGGAGGAAGAATTATTGTGGAAATTGATGGCAAAGTGGCAAAAATCAGGAATTTAAAGGTAAGCCTGAAATTGCTTTCCTTTTTCTCTGCACTGAGGGGCTTGTATCATTACAGGGCTTCTGAGGTGAAAGTGTTTGTGCATATGTGTAGAGAGAGAGAGAGTGGGAGAGCTTTGACCAACCACCAAGCAAGTATAAAAAGTAGGAAAGAAGTGCAGGGGATGTTGCTGCTGCAGCCCAAGTTCTATCAAACAGGGTGCAGCTGTTTTGGAAACCGGTCAGTAGCCTCTTTGAAAGTAAACACAAGGAATGTATGTGGAGGCAGGCATGGCCAGCTTAAATCATGTTGGGGACAGTCCATGTGTATACTTAACTCACCTGAGAACTAGTTAGACTTTGTCCCAAGCCTCTCATTTCATGTCATTTGGTCTAGAGGTGTGTGCATCTGCTAATGCAGGATTCATTTTAGCCACAGTGAGGACCAAGTAAGAACCTTCCGACCTCAGAAGAGAGTCAGTCTCTAGTCTGAGTCTTGTTACAAATTCTCTTTCACAGATTTGACCGATATTTGAGTCACAATTGGACAAACTCTGGGTACTTCCTCCTTTACCCCTCACCGCCTCTAAGGCTAATTTCCTCCATCCCATTCCCCTCTTACCAGGCTAGTAGAAGAGAGTCTTTCTGTGCCTTGGAGAGTGGAGGGTAACAGAGTGAGGGTTATCTGGACCCCAGGCCTCCCAGCCATGCCCACTCACATGTTACTCCTGTGATGTGATCTGTTTCCTTTTGTCAGTAGCCCTCTGCTAAAAGAGAACAGGAACCGTCAAACTGTCAACAGGAGCTCCCTGGGGACAAAAGGCCTTTTATTCTTTGCTGTCTCTTACTTCTATCTCTGTTGCCTAATCACTTCAGCTGCTTTGTTCTGAGAGGTCATATTTTTGGTTCTTAATAATTCCTGGCCAAGATCAAACTCGAATCTGCCTCTTGCACACCTTGCTGGCTGGTTGCTTCCCTGAGGTCAGTTACCTAAGAATCTCTTAGTCATTCTGACAGCCTCATTCTCCTGTGATCTGTGGATCCTACTGCTAGGGGTTGTCTCTCCCTGTCCAGAGTCTAAATTTTAAATAGAAAATACAGGCATTTCTGTGAATAATGCCATTCTCCCCAGCACAGTACCTTGAGGTTGTCGGTACAGTTCCAAGCTCTGGCTCTGTCTTCATTTACCTTGGGCAGTTAGATTGGTCCTAGCTCGTCTGTCCAATATGCTTTCTAATTCACTGTGAAAGCCTTAGGTTAATAGAGCCTGTCAGGCCCAGGGACTAAAGTATTCATGTATTTCTGTGTCTGCTATAGAAATACTTAGAGGGAAAAATGATAGTGATAAGAAGATGCCTGGAGATGTAAAGGTTTCTCTCCCAAGGTGTCCTATATCTCATTTGTAGGCAGATACATGATAGTATGATAGACAGATATTTAATTAATTCTCTGCGGCTTTTTTGAACCTAACAAGACGAGGACAGAGGTTACTTGTTTTGTTTTTTAGGTAGATGATATAAAGATTTTCATGACCAGTTCAGGTCTCTCTCGCTACAGCAGAGAGGAAACTAGTCCCACTAGCCAGATTCTGATATTATAATAGAGAAGACACTGGATCCTATGTTTCATTTTAGGTGGACAGCCGATCAGATGGCTTTGGCGACACCCGGGAGAAGGTTGTGGCATTCGGCTTTGATTACTGCTACTGGTCAGTCAACCCAGAGGACCCCCAATATGCATCTCAGGATGTGGTAATGTCATTTTTCCTTCACTCTAATCAGTTTTTCGTAACTGTATAATTATTGGGAAATTAACATGGAATCTGGACCCTTCATATTTCTTACTTATAGTAATTTGGTTAGAAACTAATGATGTTTAATCTAAAAAGTGGTAGTCAGAGGCATCAGTTGCAGAAAGAGGAAAGGACTGCTTGCTCAGGGCATGGGACTTGGCTAGTGTTTATTTAGGCTTCGGGCTCAGCATGATTCAGTGGGTACAAGTTAGTTTAGGTAGTGGTCTGCTCCTATGGTAAGTGAATGGGCTCATCTCAAACTTGGCCTTGTGACGGGAGCTGGAACTGCCGATGAGCGCCAGGCCCGGAGCAGGGCCCAGCCTGGAAAACAGAGGAGATTAATCCTGATCGAGATGACAACCTCCCAAAAGCACCGAGACTTCGTGGCAGAGCCCATGGGGGAAAAGCCAGTGGGGAGCCTGGTCGGGATCGGTGAAGTCCTGGGCAAGAAGCTGGAGGAAAGGGGCTTTGACAAGGCTTATGTGGTCCTTGGCCAGTTTCTGGTGCTAAAGAAAGATGAAGACCTCTTCCAGGAATGGCTAAAGGACACATGTGGTGCCAATGCCAAGCAGTCCCGGGACTGCTTTGGGTCCCTTCGAGAGTGGTGTGACGCCTTCTTGTGATGCTCTCTGGGGAGCCCCCAATCCCAAACTCCAGCCTTGAGTCTTCAGAGTTTGCAGCTCAGTGGGGACTACTCCCTTGTCCTCTACCAAGGAAGCGATTGCTGTCTGCTCACCACCGATGTCCTCCGGGTCTCTGGGGGAGTTCTCTCCCCTCACCATTTCAACTTTTTTGGAATTCTCACTCTTGCATGCATCTTCCTTCTCTTTCCCCTGCCAGTTTCAGGTCGGTAATCAGCTTTTCTGAGTGGATTTCTGGTCCCTACCCTCACCCCTGGTCTGTTTAATGACATTTGGCTTCTCTTTTGGAAAAACAGTCACTGTCCATATAAAGTTTTTTAAATCAATAAAGTCAGTGGCCTTCCAAAAAAAACCAAAAAAAACCAAAACAAACAAACAAACAAAAAACTTGGTCTTGTGTTGCATGCAATGGAAGGGCCCAGGAATCCTAGAGGCTAGTATCTTCTTTGTGCCTTATGCTTGTGCTCCTAGGTTGAGTGTAAGGGGCTAGACAGCTAGTCTACCAGCCATCAATGTACTAGTATGTAAGAGGTGAATTTTGTTGATCTGATGAGGATTGAGAAGATCAGCTAAGGCTGTTGGTCATACTTCCTGTGTCTGGTAGTGCTGCCTAGGTCTCTCACAAGTTCCCGAGGCAGCAGGTCTTACCAGGTGGATCTACAGGACTTCCCTCTGTTTCCGTGAAACAACAGCATTGTTCTGATTTGTCCTGTCGAAGGTCATGACTTCAGTCCCCATGATGGCCAGCAAGCCTTGCCTCATTCAAGTCTATGACTACAGACAATGGCCCTCACCCCAGCAACCTCCAGGGATTCTATGAAAATCCATCCCTAAAATTAGAAATATCATTTATTTGGCCTTCATGGATCAGTATCATCATACTTATACATCTGAAAACACTCCAGGAGTATGTCATTAGAAAATACCGTTGGAAAGGGAAATATTTTGGGGAGAACCCTGGACAACAATTGCCTATCTGTCTATATACCTTTGGATAAAAAGCCAAAGTGTTTTCTAAGTATTTTAGTCTTTTTTGTTTGTTTTTGTTAATCCTCACCCGAGGATATTTTTTCCATTGTTATTTAGAGAGTGTGGAAGGGAGGGGGGAGAGAAACAGAGAGAGAGAAACATAGATTGGTTGCTTCCCACAGGAGCCCTGATTAGGGCTGGGAATCCGATCTACAAATGAGACATGTGCCCTTGACTGGAATCGTACCTGGGACCCTTCAGTTTGCCGGCTGATGCTGAGTCTATCCACTGAGACAAACCGGCTAGGGCAGTATTTTAGTCTTTTGTGCAACTTTCTAATTATGCCAAAGGAACAGTGCTATCAAGCTTGAGTGACTTAGAGGACAGCACTGATCTTCCGTTGATGTACATTTCTGAAGATGATTGGATAGTTCTAAACCTTTTGAGGGGAACATGTGGAAACTAGACCCGAGACCATTGTGGGGTTTGTTGTCTCTGTGGGTTCTTTCTATTATAATATGAGCACCCTACCTTTGCAGTCAAACTGGATTTGCTGTAAATCCTCAGCAGGAAAAGGCAGTGTGGGCATTACATGGCCCCTGCCGAGCCTTCTCTGTCCTTTGGAGATGAGGGGACTGGCAGGTGCAGGCTTGTCTAATGGCCCTTGATTTGTATCCCAGCACCCAAGTATTGCTGAGGTGTCTGGTTACTGCTATTTGTAATTGTTTTACTGAGATTCTCCAAGAAGAGCCAGGAAAGAAACCGACTCTCAGATAAGAGGATGGACTGTCTACAGCAGTTCACAGTTGTGACTGTATTTGTGGCATAGAAGGCAGTGCTCTTCCTATTAGTAGAAAGTGTGAACATACTGATAGCTGTTTCAGTCCTCCCTGGCCATAGCACACTTAGAGCGGGCTGTTCTGTACCTAAGAAAAATGAACTGTTTTGTGTAACATTTGATACATCAATAATCTGGGAGGTGTGTGTATATTTGTAAATAAAAATACTACATATA